TATTATATATATATATATATATATATAGTTCGTAAGAACAATTTTTTAATGAAAAAGATAAAAACGATGCGTGAAGATGAACAAAGACCAGAAGAATATTATTTTTACATAAAAACAAAACCGTTCGTTTTGTGTTGTAAATGTTCACAAAGTGTTCACGTGATATAAAACAAAAGTGTTACAGCATACCGTTACAATTAAGGGGGAGAGGAAGGAGAGAGAAAAAAAAAAAGAAGAAAAAATAGAAAACGCATGCAACTTGACTCGTTTCGAATAAAGTACATAAAAAACGAGGAACAGTTTCGAGTCTTCCAGTCTTTTTCACCGCGTCAATCATCAAGTCATCATTACCTCGTGGAATCCTCGTAGCAACGGAATGATTTCGAAAAGAAAAAAAAAAAAAAATAGCTAAAACTGTTCGACGAAACACGAAAACACCGTGTGTTCGGCCGTGGAAAAGATTGGATTGGATCATATAAAATTGCTATTACGAGAAAAAAAAAAACACCTATCGCGAATTTCGCAAAAGCGGCGATCAAAATTTGGTCCCAAATTGGTGGAATTACATCTAGAATTTATCGACTTTAAATGCGAAACGATTGCGGGCACTCTTTCGGAAAGAACGTATTGTTTGTATCGTCACGATTTCGTCTTCGTCTCAGCGACGACGTTCGAGAGAGAGAGAGAGAGAGAAAATATTCAATCGAGTCTTTCTTCGTTTGTCAAATCGTACGTAAAAGGGGGATGGACGATTTTAATTGGATAACATCTCACGATCGACGTACGAGAGGAATCGCTTTGATCGACGTGACAAAGAATCTTTGATTCCCTAACTTATTTTTAGATATACACGATTAGTCGGTCGCGGTATCGTCGCGAGAAATCGGCTCATTTTCGTCGTTTCGATTTCACCTCGATTCCTCCAACTGCGAGGAATTTCGGAGACGAATTTCGCCGGGAAAGAGTCGCTCGGCGCTCCTCCAAGCTTGCCGCGCTTTTCTCTCTCGCCTTTCGTTCCTCGTCCATCTTCCTCGTCGTGCATCTTCCGAGTTAGACCTAGTCGGAAACGAAGGCGATGAGGATGGGAAGAGGAGGAGTGGCGTTTAAATCTGCGCCGGTTCAACGTAGTTGGCTGGTAGCATTCCCTGTCGTCCTGTGCGTTGCACGAGACCCGTCATCCAACCTTCATCGATGGCCGTACAATTGACGATCAGATCGCCGTCGCAGAAGCTTACTTCGTCGAGATCCTGGGCCTCGTAATCGTACATCGCTCTGTACACTCTCTGCAAGAAGGATATTATATAGAATAAAAAAGGGACAATTGGTTGGTTTTTCTTTTTCTTTTTTCTTTTTTTTTTTTTTTTTTAGTAAATAACTTACCCCAACGTTGGTGGGTGGTGGTGGAGGTGGTTGATGTTGTGGTACGTGATTGTTGTTCGTTGCTGGCGTCAATGATCCGTAATACTCGTTCACGGGGTCTATATCCGCTACCGAACCAATCTTTCTGGTCGGTGGATTCGTTACTAAAAAGAATCATCGATTTTACTTGAACGGAAGGTTAATGGAAGGTGAGAGAAGGAGAAGAATAATTTTTTGAAACCATGTAATGTTAGTGAATTGTGTCGAGCACAATGTTCGATGAACGTTTCAACTATACGTTAAAACATACACAGCATGGTGCACAAGTAATCGGGAAGCTTTTACGAGTGAATCGGTGAATACGATGCATAACATAATAAAAATAAATAAACCACACGCTTGGATAATTAGGAAAAAAAAAAAAGAAAATTTTTAGAAACCGTTTGACCACCAGTCACCATTAACCACAACAAATTTCTCGATTATGCGTTATAAACGTGGCAACAAAAATATATGACAATCGATTCGACGTTAAACGTTCAAGAAGCGGGTTTATTCCAGGGTGGAACGATCATAAATTCGTGGTGACGTCCCTCGAAAAGATAATAATGCTTGACGTTTACAATAGGAGTGACCGAATCGTATTTATCTATCGTTCCAACTAATCCAATTAAATGGCGATCTATTGAAACTAACTATTGCCGGTTGCGTAACGAATACTGGCCAACCCATATGGGTACGCGAAACAAGGCGGCGAGGGTATGTTCCAATGTTGCGTTTAAAGTATCGGTTCACTGTCAGAATAGCGGAAAGAATAGAGCGGATAGCGATACAGGGTGATCCATTTATTTCGATCGATTTAATTTCTCCATTGCGTAATTTACGAGTCTATCCCCATCGAGTCTAACCTCGAGTCACTTGAGACCGCTCAAGGCCATTCCCCCCCACTACCGTGTCACGAGTCTTATCCCCACTCCTTGTGCACCACTTTCGTGCACAAGAGATTCGGTCAAATCTAAATGGATCGCTCTGCGCGCCGTTTCTAAAATTTAAGCGAATCGAAAGAAAGGAAGGAAGGAAGGAAGAAAAAGAAAAAAAAAAAAAAGAAAACTACAAAATTTCGCCGATAATAGTTAAGTTGGAAGAAAAGAAAATTGAAAACAGGAAGAAGGAATCTACTCCTCCGTAGAAGAACTTACCTGGTCCCTTGTCGCTCGTATAAATCACAGTGGTGGCCGCTTGCCTGGCGGAATAGGGGCTCGGTCTTGCCTCGCTAAGGGGATCGTAATCGGCGATCCTACCTGGTGTCCTTTGCACCGGCGAGCTCGCAGTTCTAGCGGTCGGTGGATTCGCGTTCACGCCTGATGCAGGCGCGATCGTACCGTCCGTGTACTCTACGTACTCTAGAGCCAACAATATACAAGCTGCCGGTATGCTTTTCGTTTCAACGCCAACTAAATCCTCTCGCGGGGAATTAACAGGTGTTTGGTCAGGGAAAGAATTTCGTGGAAAGCTTATCGGGTTTACTTTGTCGCGTCTATGTTGCAAAGGATATTTAGCACCGATATCTATCGATCGAACTTGAATATAGGGGAATGGGAAAGATAGTCGTTTTTTTTTTTTTTTTTTTAGGAATGTTTAAAATATTAACAGGATACAGTAAATTTGTTGATTAGTGGAACATTATTTTTTTTTGTTAAGCGTTGTTATATCAAGAACGATACTTTAGTTAGTAAATATCGAGACGTTTATTGGTTTTATTGATAGAAAAATAAGAATAATATGGATGGATGGAAGAAAAATTTTTATTTATTTTTTTATTTTTTCATAAATGTCTCGATATTTATGAACGTATGTAAATACGTTAAAAGTATTACGTTCGTACGTAGTTTCAAAGTTTCGTTCGCGTTACCACGTTTTAACCATAGTTTACCTCGAATAATTTCACAAACAATACGAGCATTAGTACTGATTACGTTGATGTTAGAAACAATTTAAGAGCTTCCATTCACCGAGTACGAAACAGCGAATGCAAACACTTAAGACGATGCGTGATAGAGGAAGAAAGAGGACGCGGATAAAGGAAAGGACAAGCGACACGACTCACCGATCTGTTCGCCATTTTCACCAGTCATCGTCCTTTTCTGCTCCATGATGGCCTTCTTTTGAAGTTCGCCGTGGTAGGCCACGTTGGAGATAATTTTGCTGTTCTGCTTGATTCTCAGAGTCTCCGGATCATCCGCCACCTGGGTGAACTTGCCTTTTGCCTTCTCGAATTCGGCGTGATACTTCACGTTGCTTTGAATCTTCGTGTTCTCCGCGATACGTTTCAGTTCCGGCGTCTCCGCCATCGTGGTGGCTTTCGCCTTTGGTATGTGCCTGGAACGGGAGAGCAAACAAACGATTGATCATTATCCTCGTGACGTTTCAATGGCAACACTTGGAACGTATTAAAAATTGGATATCGGTTCGGTTGGACGGAGAAATTATTGTGGAAATCGCAAGCGAGGAAGAGTTTCGAGTGCGCGACAAGCGGTCGATGACGTTGTCGCTTATCGCGGACATCCTTTGTGAAGCATCGTTGATAACGGTGTCATGGAGAAGAGGGTATGAAGCGCGCACTCTCTCCGATTACAGCCACGAAATGAAGATTGATCTACGAATCTTTTTCTCGATTTTATCGTTCGAGACGAAACTTCAAATTCGACGAGAGATTCTCCATCTTCCATCTTCGTGAAATAATAATAATAAAGAGAATAAATGATATAAATTAAATAGCGTAGAGGAAAGCGTAGAGAACGATCGATCATTTCTTAACTTAATCTCTTAACCGATCCTAATTCATATTTTCATTCTTAACGCGTTTAAGGCGTTAATTAATGTCGATCAAATTCAAAGCCATTTCACCAGGATTGGGGATCGCAGTGGAACGAAGCAGAACGACGATACGAGGCAGAAAGAAAAATTATACGTAATTAATTCGATACAAGGTCTCGATGTTTCGCAAACGTAAAACTTTCGACGTCACGGATCACGGATCGTGATTTTCCGCGCTGTTCCCTAAGCCCACGACGAGGAAATAAAAGGCTTCTTATCGTGGTGGCAGAACCAACCGCGTTACATCAGACACGCTCGCGGAATGGAATTACGAGGTCGTTGCCAGACCGGCGAATTAATTAACAGAGGAAACGGTGAGATGACGCTGTAATCGAATGCGCATATGTTTGAAGAAGAAGAAGAAAAAAAAAACAAGAAATGGAGAGAGAGCAGAAAAAAAGAAGGAGAAAAGAAAAAATGAACAGGAGAAAACAATAGTTGCGGATAACGATTAATGGATTATATTCAAACTGTGTGTGAGTCCTGTTTTCGAAAAAAACCTTCCCAATTAATCGAAGATTCATTTATTTTTTTTTTCTTTTTCTGATGAAGAGCGAGAGATTTATCGTTTACAATTTGTGTAAGTAAATCGGGGCGAAGGATCGAAGATTGGGTATAATTAAAGGAAAGTGAGAAGAAAAATGTAAATGTTTGGTGGGTAGGAAAGGGAGAGGAGAAGCGTGTGGTGGAATGATTAACCGTGGCGGAGAGAGGGAAGGAGAGGGACAATAAGCCGATATCGAGACTCGTTTGGATAGAAACGTTTCGCGAGACAGGTCGTTCGATCGAATCGATACGAGGCGGTTTGTATCGAGGCCTGGATCGACACACGCGTTCCACACACCGATGTGTGCGTTTGATAGAAATGCGTTCCGACTTGGAGAGTAGATAGATCAAAGGGGGGGAGGGGGGGATTTATTTGTAAAATAAATATTTCCAGTTGTAACTTATTTGTCGAATCGGGGCTATCGATAAGAGGGGATATCGCGTTACCCTTCGTACAATGTTTGATATTTTGATGGCGATTTATCTGGCCTCGATAACTGATTTCTTCCAAATTGTTTACAATTCCACTCGCATTCTTCTATATTCGTCGCGTATATACTTTCCTATATTTTTTTACGCGCCTCTAAATTGACACGTACTTTTACGATACATCGACTTGAGAAATAGGAAGAGTCAAAGTCAAAAAATCAAACTCGAAAACGTGTGGCTGATCGATGAGTCAGGTAAATGTAAAGAAAGAAAGAAAGAAAGAAATGAGTAAAAACATGATTAATAAAATAGGAAACCTTGACTGCGTTTCGACCAGCTATTTCTTCTGATTCTATATTGTTCAAAGACGGTTACTCGTCTTCAAGTACAAAGTTCGTTCGTTCTGGCGTATAATAAATAAAACGTAAAAAAGGCTCGAGAATTCTTCGAATCCTTCGATCATCGCTTCACATCTCATTTAATCGCTTCGATACGATCGATAAATTACAAAATATCCATCTACAATGATATCACTCTACCCGTAGACGGGTTGTATCTAGCCAAAGTGAAGATATCTGCATCGGCACTTGGTGCACTAGGTGTGCAATGCGATTCTATAAATCACGTGTCGCGCTATCGCGTTTTGTAAACAGTTTGTAATCAGGAGAAGGTCTTGTTAACACGCGAAACGTAATTCTACCGTGAGCAGATAGTAATGCGTGCATAATTACAAAAAAGAGGCTGTATTTTGTAACGAAGAGAAGGATATAAAAGTATATATCCAATCTAATAGAAGTGGAAGAAGGAAGTAATTCGCGATCGATCGAATGGCGATTCTTTCGTCTTCAATTTTTTTTTTTTTTAATTTTTCTCTCGTTCTTCGATAAATATTCACGCTATCGCTTATTACCACTCCTCCATATGGACGTAATCTTTGTTGTCAAGCAGCAAATTGAAATTGAGATATAAAAATCATTTTTGTCGTCGAGCCTTTTCACTTTTCGTTTGCGAGGAAAAGTGAAATATCACGCTCGATGACAAATTGGGCAGCTGCTCTGCTATTCCCGATAAATTTTACTTAATCAAATTATGCATCGCGTGGAGAAAGAAGTGTATAAGAATGCACGGAGAGTTCAAGTGTATCTGTGACACAACGAATGACTCGAGAGCCGATTACTCATTGCTGTAGAACGTGTGAATAAATTATATTCAATATCGTGTGTTATGAATCATGCGCAGGCCGGTCGGTTCACCGCGATGCCTTCGAGAACGAGTTGATTTTTCCTAATCAAATTACGATTCATTCATCCGGTCCACGATGTTGGGTAAACTCGTTTACATGCTCGGTTTCAACCATTTTGCCACATTTCACGGATACTAATTCAATTTCCCGCGTTGCGAAAAATATCGATAACGAAACGACCGATCTCGGAGAATTAATTGAGCAAAAAAAAAAAAAAAACAATTGGAATTAAACGGAAAAAAAAACGATGTAATTTAAAAACTCGAAACTCTAAACCAAACTTTTAACCTGATTTAATTTAAAAAACGTAATCGAATAACAAATCCTTTCACCTATAAACTTTGTACATCGTTCGCAGCATCGAATTTAAAAGAAAAGTTTTAAAGAAAAACTTTATTTTTAATCTTCTGTACCTGAGTAGATTTCAATGATTCGAAACGAAACTTGAGACAAGAAAAAATCCAAGAATTTAAAAAAAACTTGATGATAAAACTGGAAAATCACGATGATTTAAAACGTAATCGAATAACAATAACCTAAACCTTTCACTTTGTACATTATTCGCAGCATCGAATTTATAAAAGAACTATTTCCATCGAATAGATTTCAATGATTCGAAACGAAATTTGAGACAAGAAAAAAAATCCAAGAATTTGAAAAAGAGTTCGATGATAAAAACTGGAAAATCAGTGGAAAACGTGATTGGAAAATCACGACGATTACAGATAAAAAAAACAGAAAATTCGTGGGAGGAAAAGGAAGAGATACCAAATAGCTCGATGCAAACCGTTCGATCATTAAATGTCACGGGTGTTGCAATCACGTGTCAGAGTTGCATCCCGGGGAACGGCAACAGAATGGCAATTTCATATGCAGATACGAAGAACACAACGCCGATCGGGACGACAGGAAATATCCTAGCCAGTACATTGCGGCGCGCAATGTAGAACGGTTTGTGCGAGGCTGGCCGACAAAAGGCCAGGTACGAGCACCTATTATTCGTGCATGGCACAACGACGTGTTACGTAACTTACTTGGCTGGCACAATTACCAGGGTAGACAACGTTATAGGTGCCTTACATGGAAAACGGACCTCGTGACACAAATCTCGATTACGCACGCGTTACGTGGCTGGCTCGCCTTTTCGCACCTTTGCGTACCCGAGGCGCCACTTTCGAAACGAATGGAAAAGTTGTTTTCGATTTATCGATGAATATCTATGGTGGTAGGGTAGAGCTACGTTTAGAACGAACATGTGCTCGGCAGTGAGATATAATCCTTCTCGTGTCGAGTTTACAAACGGGTACAAAGTTTCAAATTGATTGGGAATTTTAAAAATCTTGCTAGAAATCGTATTAAATAAATAAATCGATAAACTTTGTTTATTAATAAACAAATGTGATTAAGAAGGCGTGTAGAGAGGAATAATAAGGGGAATAGGCGACGCAAAGAATCGTGGTTGGAAACGTGGACGGGTGTACTATCGGCGCAAAGAACCACAAGGTCTCCTCCTTTTTCCGAGTGACGTCTCGCCGGAGAAATTTTCCGAGACTGGTCTTATTGGATTCCGTAACCACGGGCAGGAATCGCGAGAATGGCTTCGGAAGTAGTGGCTGCTCTCGGCGCAGAGAACGAAACCTTACTTCGACCGCATTACTCGAATTCCAACGAAGGCCGAAACGAGATTCCCGCTTTTTCTCTTCCCGGCTTGTCTCCTCTCTCAAGTAAAGATATCGACAGCGAGCGACGAGATCATCGAGAACGACTCGATCGATCGAAAGGAATTCGATGCAAGAATCGAAACTTTCCTCGGTAACTAGATTCGAAAAATGGATTGATATTCGCTTAAGAAATTTGTCCAATCAATTTTTCTATGAATCTTTATAAACCCTTGCGACTCCTAAGTAGAAGACGAGCATTTGAAAGGAGTTAATTGACGAAGAGAGGAAAGCTTCGTATGCAACGCGACACTAGGAAGTGGTTAACGTGACGAGGGAGATGTTGATTGATATAGTTAAGACGATATATTTTCCTAGACGAAGGCAATTTTAAGGAATGAGCGGTTTGTTAATCAACGTATGAATTCCCGTAAGAAAATTCTTGGTAATTTTCTATAGAATTGCAATTGCGATTAAAAATGGATTATCCATTATAATAATAATAAATAAGAGAGTCCAACGAAATATGCGCTCCCAATTCGAGTGGAAACTCAAGGATATTTGAAAAATGTTAATCGGATAGATCAGCATAAATGTTAAAAAACAATATATCGTTTCTTTCCGTA